GCGCTGACTGTCGAGCCCGACGACTACCCTTCAATCATGAAACCCTACGCGAGATCCAAAGACGCCTACGAGCACACCAACGATGGATGGATCACTGGTGGAAAGTCAGCCTCGACCAGGACATACGCGACGCGTGGGCCACTCGCGACCTCTCTCGAGTTGCATATCTCACGTACATCCGAGCGGGACGACGAACAGGACCACGACGACGATCATACCTTTCACTGCCATCCACGCGTCCCACTGCAGCCGGGTACGCCGACGCCCTTACCCAGCCAGCTGTCCAGGGGGGACTTTCTGCCACGCCCGCCTACGTCAGCATGTACATCGACGACCCGACAGCTATTCCACGACCACTGGCCCATCCGAACGACGTTCAACCAGTGGGGGGGCACATCGGCGCCCCTGAGCTCCACGACATTGAGACGGCAGCGGAGGAGCTCGACCATCTGCAGAAACGACTGTGGAGGGAGAAACGGAGGCGCTACAACCCACCATGGGCATGGCCCATCGAACTCACCATCATGCTCCTCGCCCCACAATATCTGACGCGCCCTGGCGTTCAACGGGCAGGGATGGGACACGGCACCGCCGACTATCAATACGCGGACCCGCTCGCGGAGCAGGTCCACCAACCTAGTCGAAGGAAGCTCGTGATCGACTGCGACGTCAGCCCCACCATCATCCAGACTTTCGTCACATTACTCGCTCATGTCCACCGATGTGGCTCTCTGCCTGCCCAGGCGTTCACCAGCCAGGCGGTCGCCATTGGAAAGAAAGGAAAAAGCCCTACTGACAACGTGATTCAGGGCATCCATGCATGCGTACGTTTACTTCACTGTTTCGACAATGTTTTGTGATTATATCTCATAATAGGACTCATACAGTATGGAACCTAATTCGACCCACCGCCGTGGGCTTATGGAGGCATTCATTCTCGCCGACGCGAATCACTCATGCTCATTGCTAAACTATTGGTATGGAAGATGAGATACGCCAGAATGCATGTTCTCGCTAAGTCGCACGACATGCGGAATGCATTCGCGACAGGCTCCCACGAGCGACTGGTTGCCGCCCACACACTCCGATGCGAAGATGAGCATTTGCATCCCCCCCTTGAGCAGCACCGACACGAGGCAGTAGTATTTCTGCAGGCGTCCGACGCTAGCATAGCTCTTCGACCAGGGACGGGAGGGAGGATGGGCGACTCAAACGAGCCTGAACTTTTTATGGAATCATTCGATCCACTAGTGAAGCAGTGGTCCCAGGAGATGGCACAGGTCCAGGGAAGCCCGTTCCAGGTACACTGCTCGTTTACTGGTGAAGAGTTTGATGCGCATCTTGGAGCTTTCATTGACGATCTAGTCAAGATCCTCCTGGTGCCAGACGGCGCGGCCCTCCAGGCGCTGCAGATTGACAAGATCGACAACAACGCGCTCACCCAGGCCCTCGAGGCTGGCGGCTACGCACAGAACATCAGTAAGCAGGACACCCTGGCCTCACTGGGCACCCATGGGGCTACGAAGGAGGCCGAACGGAATACTTCTGGGAACGCAGTCCAGGACTTGATTCATCTCGGAGGATATGTACATGTTGCCAACAGTAATCGTCGTGAAGCCGAGGCCCGCATACAATCAGGTAAAATCGGGTGGAGCCGTCTGGGCGATTACTGGTACTCTGGAGGCCCTTGGAAGGCCAAACGGCTCGCGTTCGTGTCCAACGTAGCGGGGAGGGTGTGGTCTGGCCGCGAAAGCTACGTGTTGTCCCCTAGAGAGCTCCACAGACTCGACAGTTCGTTGGCTCGCAAACTACGATCAATGATGAGAGGAGCAGCACATCAGGAGGATGAGCACAACAATCATCGGTCTATGTCTACCCGCCAAGTGTTTATTGAATGGCAAGTTGCACCGACTGCCATCGAGCTACTCGTGCGCAGGCTCAGCTGGTGGCAGGGCGTAATCCGATCGCACACGCATCATGGCCACTTTCTAGCTTCTTTTTTTGGAAGATGCAAGTTCGAGCAGCAGGCGGCCATAAGCAACCGCCCCGTCAGCGCTGGAACCCTCAATTCGCAGGGTGAGATCTCCGCAGAACCGAACGTGCACCCGTGGGCCACACAGCTCGCGGACGATCTGCTGTGCATGTCGTCCCACACGATCGGCGAAAGCTTTCAGGAAGCGTGGCAGCCTCGAGTTGTAAAAGACCTGTGGGATGACGAGTGGGTTCGAGAGGCCTTCTTAAACTGTGACGTTCGGGCTCTCAGGGCTTCTTACTGGACGACTCAGTGGGCTCCCCCCGAGGCCAGCGTGATCACCTCCTCTCTCCCCTCGGCGGCAACATACGACGAGACGGACACTGACGACGAGACTAACCGCCCCTTCGTGTGCAACATCGAGTCATGCCAGAAACGGTTCGGGACGCTCAAACAGCTCGTCACACACCAAACTAAAGCTAAGAGCCTAGGACACGGTATGCCAGCGGTATTGATTACCCTACAGATCGACAACAAATGTATTGTGTGCCATACTACGTATCCAAATCAAGATCATGCAGT